TATTGACTTTTATCACTTTATATGATTCCAGTTCTTCAATATTATGATACCAAAGAAGCCATAATATGGAAACCAGATGCGCATATATGAAACCGAATTATTCAATATTTTAATTCATTTTTACGATATATGAAACCATTTTATTAATGTATGGGACCAGAGAAGCAGTATATATGTTGATTTTTATATTCTATGATAGCAATTTTTCATTATATGAAAAATAGCCTATTTTCAAGTCAACACGTCAAAGGCCGAGGTCACTGGGTTCTGTTATTACAATGCATACACTTTATCATGAAATCAATTATTATTTGACTGGTTATTTTTAACCTTTGTGAGTAGATTAACATTGATGTGTCCTACTGGCCATGCCCATTTTTGATCAAAGGTAAATGTCGAGATGAACTTATTTTTTAAAAATGTTTTTGTTAATGGTCAGTACGACTCAGTAGCTTAAGTTATGACATACAACTCTTACATATATAACGATAAAGTTTTGCCTGCCCAGCCCATTTTAAGTGAATGTGACGTTAAATTTCAAATATTTCCTTTTTAGAAAATGTGCATTATGCAATCAGTGAAGCACGCTGGTCTTTTGACAGTTCAACAAGGAATATTGGCGCCGAAACTGTAATACCGGTGCAAGGATAGAATACAGCCTTTAAAAAAGTCCGTCAATTAATGACATTTTTGGTTCCATATATTGCTACTTTGTATCATATATTGAAGAACTGGTATCATATAATGTGAAAATCAACTTATATATTGCTACTTCGGTTACATACATTGATAAACTGGTTTCATATATTGTAAAATTGATTTAATATATTGATAATTCGGTTTCATATAAGGGCATCTGGTTCCAGTACATGATTACTTGGATCCATATATTGAAGATCTGGTATCATATAATGTGATAATCAACTTATATATTGCTACTTTGGTTCAATACAGGGATGAAATGGTTTCATATATTGTAAAAATGAATTAATATATTGATAATTTGGTTTACATATAAGGACACCTGGTTCGCATACATTGCTACTTTGGTTCCATATATTGAATAATTGGTATCATATATTGTAATAACCAACTCGGTATATTGCTACTTTGGTTCGCATAAAACATTATAAAATGGTTTCCATTATATTCGTAAGAAATAAATTAATATTTGATAATTCGGTTTAATATATAAGGATAGTCTTTGGTTTTCCATACATAAATGGTCAGTATGTCATTGTGTATCCATAAAAAGATAATAATATTATGGTCTCAGCTAATAAAATGCCGGACCTACATTTTTTTTTTCGAAATTTTGAGCGTTTTTTGGAAATTTCCGAAGCTTCAAGAGCTCCCGCTTCTTTTGCCTGACTCATATTGAAGTCAGCCAATCACAACCTTCAAATTCCCATCACATGTTAGAAAGCCGAAGTTTCATTGGCCAACTCGTTTTGATTTAGAAATACCGAAGCTACATATGAATGTAGCTCCGGTGTTGAAATATTGCTATATCTAAACAAAAAATGGAGAGAAAATTGCAACTTCGGCTAATTTATATTCATTTGAATACTCGTTTTACATTCGCTTTTCCATAGGCATTTTCACATCGAAGCCCATTGAATTAATTTTGCGAATCGGCATAAAAACTTCAAATATATTAGTTGAAATATGAATTAATTAAATAAAAACATGTCGCAGGATCCTGTAAACGGCTTTTTTGACTATTCAACATTGAGCTACTCAGGAGATATTGAATTGAAACAAATAAACGTAACCCCTGCATTTAATATACGGCAAAAAGTGGAAGTTGTTAAAAAATTAAGATCATTGCTGACATCAACTCGCATCTTATCGGCCCTTTCCGTAAGTCTTCGGGTAAGGACCTCGAACACAATAATAATAATTCACAGATACAATATTTCGGTCTAACTGACGCTTAGAAACTAAACCATTAAAAACATATAGTTATTTAATGACAAGAGTTGTTGGCTTTTTTTCAATATATCAAGTCCACCTAATTCATGATGATTTATACACTAAGCAAATAATAAAATACGCTTAAACGTGTCGTAATTAAGCACAAGAAACACACTGGCAGTAACAAAAGATATCATCAGACCTCCAGGACATATTTCTGAGTTTGGGCACAAGAATCCGTGACATTTTGAAATATCGGGTCTGGGCTTTATGTTTGCAACTTTCCATTATAATAAGGTTTACATCTGAAACCACGTTTGTAGAACTATTTTCAATCCATATTAACTCCCAAGGTTATTATGAAAAATAGATGAGGACGTCCTGATTGTGCTGCCATAACGCACTTTTAAGGATAATCCTTCATCCTGTCACTTGTCCGTATTTGATAGCAAAATATCATTTTTTTTGTACTTGAAAGGCCCTCATTAGGGCTATTAAACATGTAAACATGTTCCTACTATTCAGACCGTTTGAAGTGAAAAAGAACCCGTTTTTCATTGACGCGCCTATGGTCACATACAAAATATATGCACGGCCTTCTAAAATTATTTTTACGGAGTCGCAAAAACGGCACAGATATGTGATAAATGCATTTTATCTAAAGAACAATGCATTAATAATCAAAGCACAGAAGGCGCTGAATTTGTTTGGGTCTCAGAATGTCAGAAAGGTTTTGAATGTCATTTGTTTCTGTTATTTAGTGCCACCAGTGTTATAACTGTGGTAAATTGGCTAGAAGGCTTAATTGCAACACTGATATTTCAATTCAATGTTTATTTGGCCTAAGCAATTTAAAAAACAAAAAACAAAAAACAACAACATGAGCTGCCTTAAACTGGTGATTTTAACTTCAGACCTCTCGCTTACTAAAGTAGCGTGTAACCCCTCGGCCCGAAGAAAGTAATAAGATTAGTGCCTGAAGAAAACCAAAATTATTCTAAATTAGCGGTTTGTAATCCTTATAAATTTCGAGATAGTTTGTTCACGGTAAACTTGTTGTTCCACACTGAAGTAAATAATCATGGAAGCTTAATATTAAGCATGCATATCTGTAAAGAATTACACAATATTAGAAATCTTTGATCGGGAAGTAATTTTTTCCCCGAGAAGGTTTGAAAATTTATACTTAAAAGGGAAGTAACCGCTTCGAGGATTTCAGACTCCTTTCAGATTTTGCAAATAAGTATATCAGGGTCTGAAATTTCGCTACCATTATTTGATCTCACGACCCAAGCAAATAAATACTGATGTTAAACATCAAATAGCAAAAGTTGAAATGAAAATTATACAGAAGTATGATTATTGGCGTGAAGTTCATGCAAGTGAACAGGAAAATTAAACACAATAACATGTTTGGTAAACACAAATGTCCTCAGCCACAATTCTTGTCAGTTACAAATTAAAAAAAGGCTTAACAAATCACTCAGTTATGGACAGAAATATTGCCCCAAAAAGTGTAAACAGTTATATAACCTGACTTTGTCATTACGTTTTGTTTAAGTGAAAAATATAAGTTTGCATGTCATTGCTATTTGATGAATAAAAAATTATTAAATATATACAAATGCAAATGTAAGACCATGACCTTGAGCAAAGTGACCCAAACTTAAAACACCAACTGAGATGTGTTCAATACAGATATGAGACATAGGTAAAAAGAACAAAGGCTATATAAAAATGCTGTAAATAGATAAATCTGTCACGAGCACAGATGATCTTGACATTGTGACTCTTAACTCTGGACCATCCAAGGTATGGTCGATCCAACTATGAAAAATATCAACAATAAATAAATGTTGTATACACAAATGCTTGAAATCTATTTTAGCACCCCTGAACTTTAACTAATCCAAAGAAAGAAGACCTATCAAGCTAACTTCCTACCAAAAATAAAAGACATCATTCAATAAATAAAGACTGTATAGACAAAAGCGTAAAAATCTTTTTTAAGCAGTGCTGACATTGATCCGATTAATCCTTTACTCAATCCAAAGGAAGAACCATGAAAATGATCTACCTACCAAATATGAAAAACTAATGTTGATAAATAATGACTGTATGGGCAAAGGTGTAAAAATCAATTTTTAGCACTGTTGACCTTGACCCAACTGACCCCTTACTCAATTTGAAGAAAGAAGACCACGCAAGTCATCATCATACCATATAAGTAAAACACCAGTAATTGAATAAAGGCTGTATCAGCAACTTTGAGTAAATCTCTAAGAACCACTGTTGACCCTGAACCAATGAAAATGAATGGTACATTTATATAACCTGACAATATCATGAACTTTGTAAAGAAATTATGACAGATACGACGAACTAAATAGATAGAACTCCAGATACTTTTAGGTTAACTATATCCATATTTAGAGTGCTAAAAGGACAATAACTTAGTAAAAATGGAAGTCATAGTTATGTAAGATGCCCAATCATGTATTGATTAGTAAGTGTGTAAATTATAAAGCCATTGGTACAGGTAGAACTGAAGAAAAAGTTCAATTGTAGAATATAACAATTTATATCAAGTTCTTAGTAGCAAAAGTGTGTTAAAATCAGATTACCAAACTACATCAGTTATAAAGTAAAAACCCGGAGCTTCATTTCGCTGATGCAAAATGCACTTTCGGAAATTTATAATGCATTTTATAAAGCCGAAGCTGCACCTACGTTTTATAAAATGCCTAAACTACTTTTATTGCCAAAAGATAAGATATTACCGTTACATTGAGATCATATATTGAATAGTTACTATATAAGATGTTAATAAAAAACAAAACGATTTTTGTATTTTTCTGATTGATCATGAAAAACACTTTTTTCCTTCTCCTGAAAAGTTTACTTTTTGTAACTCCGGCATTTTATAGTGAGACCATCGATTTGAAATACTGATTTAAATAGTATTTACTTTTGAATGATGACAATGGTAATTTTATCATTTTTACTTACTTCTCAGATTTTAATGTCGTTAAAAAATATATTATGATAAAAAAACGGCATTTATTTTGTGTCTAAGAGCTCACCTCGGTGCCGAACATGTTTTGCAGCTGTAAGAATTTTATCAAACTCAAAATTGGTTATATCATCTATCTAAAACGGAAAATATAGTTATGCATTATGCTTATTCAATCAATAAGATGAATTTATAAAAGAAATGAAAAATATGTTAACTTTTTACACAAAACTGAAGAAGAAAACCATCGCTTATTTCTGTAATTTACTTTAATCTTTGTAATAAAATGAAAATAGCACATACGTATATATACTTCCTTTAAGATAACAAAGCTTCAAATGAATCATGCAATTTGTTATACAAGTCACGCAAAGCCAAACTTCAAAACGAATTTGCTCAGTAAAATATAATGCTGCTTACGGCACCAAGCATTGTAATTATGGCAATACCGTGCGTTGCCATGGAAGCCTCGTTAAAACTTTTGTACAAATCTATGTTGTATCCAATTATCTGAAACTGTAACAAAACCATCATTATACGTGTGACTTTTGACAAGATTTACATTATTTCAAGATTTAAGTAAGGTTCTCTATATCATATATGTGTTAGATAATAAAATACAGACAACTAGAGCATCATATAATGATAATGTCGTCTTCCTCTATCATTTACGAGTTAAACACACACGCACGCACGCACGCACACGCACACACACACACACACAAACACACGACCATTAAATTATAATATTTTTACTTAAATTTAAACTTGTAATAAAATGAATTAAGATCAACTGTAACGTACTTTTAATGGCATACCCTAAGTCTTTAAGTTAACGAGGTAAACAAAAAAGCAAGTACATGTATTGCAAAGTCCATGTCCGTACATTACGGATAAAATAGAAAAAAAATGTTTTTTTTAGAAAAACAGATACTTGATGATGGCTAAAATATAATCCTACATGTTTACCTCAACAGGAAACTGTTTTCCTGCAATAGTATGCTCAGAACCAATTTCGTCGTATATACCGAAATGGATTTTAATTTGATCTAGTCTATAATTGTAGGAGAGAGGCCCTCCTGTAAATACAAATGATGAACTGTTCTTTGCCTTATTTACTTCAATAATTAGATCATTTCCAGTATTCACAAGCCATCCGTTGATCTAAAATTGAAAATACAAAATTAACTAGATATCTTTAGGACTGTTGATATTTATAATAAAGTATTTTCTTCCTAACTGACTTAAATTACAATTTGAATTTTAGTAGCAATTAATGATTTTAGTTACTCGTTAAGTATATGTATGGGGATATTTAAAAAAACTATTATTTAGAAATGGGCTTTATTATTAAAATATTATACACGTTTTGAGGACTGTTGAAAAATCTTCTCCATTATTAGAGATGTTCTTATCGAACGAAAAAAACATTTAATAAACATTATAGACATTTATATTTTATATATTTTATGTAATAACTTCGGTTCCTATCTTTACCTTGTTAGGTTATAATTAGAAACAAACATATTAAATGTTAAAGAGAAAACCCAAGAACCCCACTTGAAAAAAGTGGTTACTTCCGTGCCTGTTGCGCATCTCTACTTCATTGTCAACATCCTATTCGCAATTCGTTGTTGGAAAACGTTTTATATCTCTTGAAATAGGTAGGACTATTATTAAATATTATAAGAGGTGCTTCAAACAAATGTTACATTATTTTATTTCTTGATTTAGTAATCCACGGGTCGTTTGTTCGGTTTCGGGCGATGTAAAAAAGTTTCTCCGTGACGGGAACTTGCAAAAGATATAAGTAATTACTAGTAACTTATCCAGGAAAGCCCGTTAAAATGATCGATCGTCGAGATACAATGCTTGTTAAAAAAGAAATAGAAATCAGCGTTTTGCGTTTTCATATTCCATTAATATTCACATCTTTTTATACATACGGCGATCGATTATGTTATCCATAATTTGAGCATAATTTCATTTTGTTTTGCTGTGCAGGTGTACACTGTGATTTTGAATGACATGGTAACACGCACCCAGCGCAGCGCGTCAATTATTTAATTCTAGTTTATTCATAATTTGTGTCTGTTTTTCTATGTATTCCACCAACACGTACTATTATATTTAAATGTCATTATGTCTCATTCTAACACGACCCGTATTTTTCACTATTGAATATAGAAGAACCGCAAGTGTGTGTTATTTAGGAAATAAATATCAATTCTGAGTGCATTGTTGTAGAATAATGTACGGTTTGAGTCCAAATTCGTAGTAATATAATCACGAAGGCCGATAGGCCTGAGTGATTAATTACAAAGCATTTGAACGAAAAACGTGCATTATATAGAGGATATTGAATGAGTGTAAGTTCAATACTGAATTTATTGCACGAGTTGAATAAAATTATATTATGCGAGCCTCTGGCGAGCATAATATTATTTATTTTCAACAAGTGCAATAAAATTCAGTAATGAACTTACACGAACTTAATATTCTATTTATCACATACCCAAAATAAAGACCATTTAAAGTGAAATAAGAGTCATTTTCATTGACGTGTCTATAGTATAATGCTTACATTTAGCGCGTCTTTACACTATATTTGCATAACGCTAATGACGTCACATCAAAATATATACACGGCCATGCAATACCATTTTTACGGAGTCGAGAAATCGGTACGGGTGTGTGATAATATACAATAATGCACGAAGAATTAATATCTATTTCCATTCTAACACGTCAAGAAAAAGAATAATTATCATTATAAAGTTGGACTTTATGTTTCGTGGTTAAATTTGTTTTCGCCTCAGAGTTTCCAATAGAAACGTTTTGTAAAGGCTGTTCCAGTGGGTTGAAAAAAAAACTGTCGTTAAATCTACCGTGTGTAGAAACATTTTGAGCAAAACGAATTTTGAAAACGTTGATAAACTTTGTTTGTTTATTTTATTTCACTCTATCATTTTCAAGCGAAATATAAATTATTAAAAGTGAAATAAATGTAAAATTTAACTCGTTTGCGATATTAAAATAGCGTACTTGATTTGATTGTTTTGCACGTGCTGTTTGGCGCTACATTGTGGCGTCATGTAAACTACACTTTAAACGTCTGTACAGCGTTAACGACTGAATTAAAGATATTGGTGTTCGGGTTCATTTTCTTAGTAAGACCATTTTCTTGCATTCTAAATAGTTTTCACAACAAAATTCGACAATTTCTTTTATTTACTAGAATTTTCAAAAAAATATGATGCCCTCAATGTGAAAATACACAGGGAGATAATAAGACCGGCGAGTGCATTGTTGTAGAATAATGCACTCTTCGGTCCTTCTTTGTTTATTTAGTGTCCAGCTTTATTTGTCATCCAATGAAAACGCTGTATTTCTTCAAAATTATGTGCGTTAATTTTCATAGAAGAAAAAAATCGATACTATATTGAAATCCGTTCATAGTCGCCTTCTATTTTTCATAGTGCTTCATAGTACCGCGTAGTGACGTAATCAAGGGCCAAATAAAGCTTGACACTAAATATGTTAGTGTTCATCCTTAGCTGTTCTACAGAAATTAGAAACATTCTCCTGTCGCTATCGCTCCCGTCGAAGTTTCTAATTTCTGTAGAACAGCACGGATGAACACTAACATATACATAGAAAAAAATCCGATAGCGTTAGAATATGCAATAAAGTCACTGTTGACGTTCTATATTTAGATATGTGACGTAATCATTATACATGTGACGTAACTTCTTAAAAATCCGACGCGCTGAAAATAAGTACGGAAACAAATCAGGCAGGCGCAATTTTGTTTAATATCAGGTACGGCAGCTTTTATTTGTTGATGTCGTGTTAGAGTCGTTCGAATGCGCATCATTATAATTCGTCGCATCCGAACTCTTCTGAAGCCAATTTGAATAAAATAGACTAAACACTATCAGAGTTATCAAATTTAAATTATACAGTTACATTGTGATAAAGCATTGATATTTCAAGTTCAAGAAAATATCTCCGACGGTTCCTGAGATGGAACGGGACATACAAAATAATAAATTTATAGCCTGTTACAAGTTAGATGTCACGGTTTAATTATAAACTTATTAATCGGAATGTCTTAATTAATAAGATGCAAGGAGCTCTGTCGGACCGTATATGTCACGAACCGAATATGGCACACGTGTGACATATTCGGTTCGAATTGGTCACAAGTGTGACATATTCTGTCGAATATGGCACACTCTTCAGCCGAATATGGAACATAAAATGTGCCATATCCGGTTGTATTGAGTTTTTCTATGCTCATCAAAACGTATTTGTCACTTACCAAAAATGAACATAAAAACTGAAAATATCAACGTATACGTCACATGTGGTTTTTCTTTTTCTGAAATAAGACCGTTTTGCACAATACCCTTTATTATAAAATAAAATGAAGAAGAAGAAGAAAAAGAAAGTAATGACGGAATCGTAAATACCACAACCAACATCTTCATCACCATCATTATCATCATCACAAGTATATAACAAGAAAAGCATTGATGCAAAGCATCAAAGGCGACGCCAAAAAAAAGTTTTGCACCTAAATACTTAACAAAAGATGTGTACTTTATAGCAGTACCATTACATGTGACCTGGAGGCTAGGCCCAGTTTAAAGAATAGACTCTGTCTTGCCAAGATGCAAAGACAATTTATAGCCAATTAACCAATCACTTTTAAGACTCATGCCATAAGAGAGAATTTCTTCAGATTTATTTTACCAGATACAAGGATACCTGAGTCATCAGCATATAATAAAAGCTTATTGCTTAGGGTTGCAGACATGTCATTGACATACATGTATATAAGATATAAAAGGGGACTTAAAATGAACCTCAGGGGGGACACAATAAGTACTCGGAGCAGTAGTAGAATGAATACCAGCCACATCCACGTGCTGCTGTCCATCAGAGATTAGACTTGAACCATGTACATGTAAGAATGTCATTACCTATGGCAGATGCTTGAAGTTTCACGAAGAAGAAGAAGGGAACTTCTTCATGTGCAGTATAGTGTGATCAACTGTATCAAATGCCTTTTGTAGATCTAAAAGTATCATGCATACAATACTGCCTTTGTCCATTTCAAATTTAATACAATCTGTTAAATAAATCCACTTCTAAACAATGACTGAAACTGCATGACCATGACTCGAACCCATGACTGTCAGAAGACCAACTGAGCTATCCGGCCGGCTACACATTTTCTCTTTAATAATGAACAGTTCTAAACCACACCATATTTCCCCACTATATTGATTTGTCGACTGAATTTTTGATATTTACAGAGCATAGTGAATTAAACTCAGGGTTATATGCAGTCACAGGATGAGAAAAACTTTCAGCTTGACCAGAACTCGAACCTGTGACCCACAGAATAATGTACCGCGGCTGTAGCGATTGAGCTATCTGGCCGCTTACACATTTTCTTCCCTAAATAGTGAACAGTTCTAAACCGTGACAGATACTTTAAGATTTTTTAATTAACAGGTAGATTAATTCTTAATTAAACAAATAAGAAAAAAAACTTACATATTCATAGTATTAATCAAAATAACAATTTATAACAACAGTCCCTCTTTAAACCTTCCATTAGACTCTGCATATATATCTAGTGTTTAAAATTGATAACTTCATGATGTTATTCTTTCTCTGTTTCATTATATGGACATGAGCACAGCTTTAATTTTCTACCTTCATTTTTATCAAAGGTTATTTTATTAACAATTTATATACAAACACATATAAAATAATGATTAGTTTCACATAGTGATTAGAAGATTCCTGTAGCTGAATACCTGTAGGTATGTACTAACTGAAGAAACTAGAAAAATCCAGTCTAAGGTATATAAAGCAAGTAAAAAAAATATATATAAAATATTCACTCCTCAGGGCCTCTATGCTTTTGATGACCTTACAACTGGTAAATTTTATGCAACAAAATAGTAAGTAATACCTATGACAGACATAAAAGAACAAAAAAAGTAAACATGAGTTACTTCCCCTTAAAATAGAGAAAACCTGAAACCCAAAAGAACACCCTAAACAGCAAAATCATGAAATGTTGCAGGCTCAGTTTTATTAAGCCATGCAAAGTAATGGTAAAGTATTCATAAAAAGTTAGATGGCCATGTGACAGCAGTAATTGCAGAAAATCGGATAGCTTTCAACATCCGAATACTGTTACACTTTGTAAAAACAATCATTCTGCGCAATAGATAAACGTAATATTGATAAAATCAATAGGATAATCGTTTACAACAGTTCCATTACCAATCCTAATACTCATTTGCAGGTGAACGTTCTTCTTGTAGGAAAATTTTAAAAATACATAAATGAATAAAAAAGAATACGGCAAAAATGTAGACCACAACGGTATTCGAAATCCGGATTTTAGTATTGCCAATAAATGTAAGGGACAAGCTGTTAAACTGAGCCTGCAATTTCGTGAAAATAATATCACAATGTACATGCTTTTTACATAAAGATATTAAATACAAATATAACAACATATTTGTTTACTTGATTTTTACGAATCAAAATAAAACTAATTAACACAACATGACATTAACTGCTGATAATAACAGCTCCTTCCATAGGCCAAAATAAAAAGCATTCCATAAGAGACGACGCCGCTCACCGGCGTCGCCAATAAACATATATTTCACCGACCTTTTTAAAGTGTATAATAAACAAATGTTTCATCAAATTCTTTAGATATGTATAATAAACAAAGGTTTCACCAAATAAGTGCAAAAAAAACTTCGTGAGTATCGTACTGCAATATCCCTGTAAACAAGAATATATATGTCTTGCACTAGAATAATTTTGTATATTCCTTACTGCTTGAACAAAATGATCCCAGGGCTCTTAATATATCTACAAGCTATTAGTGTAAACATATATATTTATGATCGATTGCGAACACGTTCTTTTAATTTATATTAATCACTTAGAGTCCGCTTCCTGGAACTAAGCTGTACTGGTGTCAAATAAGGAAACATAGCCGTCACCCGAGATGGGCTCGAACCCACAATCCTGGGACTGAGAGGCAAACATCTTAGCCATTTGCCCTTATCATTGTATCATCCATACTTTGTGATTCACCAGGAAAAAAATCACATCTTGCTAAAGCAAAAATGACCATGATGGTTTTAGGCGTAACATAACGTTTCAGGAGCACGCTATGAATGTGTAGTGAACAAAACGCCATTCATACTATCTCCTATCGTGCGCACCAATGTATGTAAAATTATACATCTGGTTTGCAGCGTGAAGAAAATGATTTTTTTGAAAATGTTCAAAAATCGTTGTTTCGTGATTAAAAAAGTTTTGATTTTGCTTATATCTAAGATACAGCGTAAAATAATTGATTTTATTTAGTTGTAAAGTACATGTCAAAATCAAGCTTTGTACGCGTAACTTACAAAAAACGTAAAATGTATTTCATAACTTGAAAGAAAACAACAACATTTCAAACAAAATTTAATGACGACATTGGAATTTGTCACAAATTTGTGCATGGTCAGTGAGTCGCTAGGTCCGAAAATATATACTTTTTGTATATTTATAATTATTGATTTGAATATCAATTCACGAGATTTTGTAAAACATTATTATAAAATCGTAAAATTCAAGACTTAAAAAGTTGAAATTTTTTCTTTAACATGGCAATTCATTTTATTAAAACCATAGGACACTTATTACCCCATTACCCACCTTTTGAACAAACTTCCTTAAGTTAAGGGATATAACTAGGGCAGCACTACTCAAATTAATAAGTGTAATCCTAGTGCATAACAACATATGTTAACCAACATTCTTGCAAGATTTCTTATCCTTGCTTCAAACACTGTTTAGCTACTCAGCCCCACAAGTAAAAATTTCAAATTCTGATTTAGTAAAGGACAAAACACTGGAATTACTGTGCAGATCCATGTTGAAAATTGCTGATTTTGACTAAGCAAAGGGTAATAACTCTGGCATAAATGCGGAAAATCGACAAGCGAAACCCAATGTACTTCATATGCTGACTAATGTTCACTAGTAGATTCATGACCTTAGCTCAAATACTGCACAGGCGCACGGACAAGTAAAATGTTTAAATCCCAGACCCCCTCAGAATGGGGGCATAAAGAGTCGATATATTATCTTTAAGTCAATAAATATTAATGTCCGAAATATTAAATAAATATTAATGTCCAAAATATAAAGCAAATATTTTCGACAAAGTCAATCACTGGGTATTGACACAGTAGTCATCTTACTGGTAAAATGATGAGCAAATCGGCGTTGACCTAAACAAATATATTGCTGATTATATGGTGGCTGGTTTGTGCAATTCGTGTTTTCGCCCCGCGACCGCGCCAAGCGAAAATTAACAAGTTAAACGGCGGGGTCGCGGGACGAAAACACGCTAATAAGCGGGGGCGCGGGTCGAAGATTAATAAATAAAAACTTCGCCCTGCGAGGGCGCGGGACGAGATTTAAGAAATAAAAAGGCGGGGAAAACCGCTTAACCGCTAAATATCGCCCCCGCTAATTAGCGTGTTTTCGCTCCGCGCCCCTGCCATTTTAACTGCTTTTTCTCGACTTTTCGCTTGGCGGTGTCGCGGGACAAAAACACGCTAATTAGCGGAAGCGCGCGGCGAAGTTTTATTTAATGTATTATTGATGTTTATGATGTTGTCGTTGTTGTTGATGGTGATGATGATGTACTATCAACGTTGATGAACGAAGGTTAAAACAACGATGACTGTGTTAGTTTACTGTGTAAAATGAGTGACATATAAGGTCAGGCATTTACTGCCAAATTGGAGAAACGTATATGGCACATAAAGATAGCTGTGATTAATTCGGCCGAATATGTCCCACACGTGTGACATATACGTTCCGTGACATATACGGTCCGACAGAGCTCCACTGAGGTAAAAAAATATCTGCATAGATTAAGTGAAGCACTTCAAAGGATAATCAAAATAAAATTATGCTTACAATAAATTTGAAAATCGATTTTTTTTCGATTCTTAGCCTGCTTTGATTGAAAAGCGTCCAATGGTATACAAATGTCGGGAAAATATTACCAATCCCGTCGTACTTTACTGTAACACGTTACATAATTAAGATAGTCAGGTGAAGTGTGTAAATTTATACTACAAATCCCATTAAAAGTCCATGTATTCTCAGTTCAAACACAATAATTTAAGAAAGAATGACACTCGTCTTGTGACAGTTTGCCTTCATTCTGTGACGTCATTGATGAACGTCATTTGATGTATTGTGCGCCGGATCGCGTACATCATCTCATTTGTAATTTTCACAGAATTGTTGACTGTCAACATATTGCTTTGATTTTTTCATTGTTTATAGAGGACATATTTCGTTATTTTTCTCTTGTACGTAATTGTGTATGTTATTTAAAAGATATGAACAGTAGAGACGCATCATATTGCTTTTTGAACAACCCTAGTTTGACAGAAATGTGTTTAAATTGGTGTTAATCCCCCCCGCCCCCTAAAAAAACAACCCCAACACAGAATGAAGTCCAAAATCCTACCTTACTGTCATCGTATTTTAATTTTGTGAGGTTTGGGTCAAAAACAAGTTTTTCAGGATCAATATCTATTGGAGATTGGAATTTTCCAGTGCCACAAAGAGACCAATTTTTATTATGTGTTCCCCAGAACTGAGGACCTGAAATGCAAATAATAATCGTTTACAAAAATCTATATAGTAATCATTTTCAATGGCAGCTTAGTGTATTAAGTTGAATGAATTTTAAAAATAACAAACACTATTCAGTTCAACTATTTAGCCGTTTATGCATGTTTTTATTCATTCAGATAAATGACAATACTTAATTTATGCCATCAAGCTTTTATTATCTTTTAAAATATATGACCAGGAATTATTTATTTAAAATATCAATACTCAAGTTCATAATTTTGTGCAAGTGTAATTTGTTTTGACTGTTGGTTTTAACGGGATCATATTTAAAATTTACACAGTCCTTGTATTTACTGCGGTATTTAATACAATAAATCTGTTGGAGTTAATAGTAAAATCAATATTAACACTAAGCTCCTTGTTCTGATATAAATGTTTTAGACTTAAAGTTGTCAATATATGCTCTCAACGTATTTCAAACTTAATTAACGGGGAATGTATTTTATGACTCTGAGCACTCTTACTAGCAAATGACTGTTTCACAATTGTATCATAATATTATCAATACTGCTGTAAAAACTTTAAAATATCACTAGTGAAATGAAGTATTGAAATAACTTACCTGACATTCCATTATAACCCCACCATTCCTCCCAAAGTTCCGTGCAACTAACTGAAAGTGAGACAAAATTGATATACGGAGGGTGATTGATAAATTCTCGGATTTAGTTTCTTCATCAAATTACTTGAAAACTCAGATACATGAGTGCGAAACAACTTATTTCACTTTCAAGCGGAAATATATTGCAAATAAAACAGTTTGCCGAAAATACTATCGCTGTGGTTAATTTATTAATGTCCGTGAAGTACGCGGGCTAACGGGCTAGCAGTCTAGCGGGCTAACAGTATGAACTGAGCGGGCTAGCAGTCTAGCGGGCTAACAGTGTGAACTGGGCGGGCTAGCAGCCTAGCGGGTTAACAGTGTGAACTGGGCGGGCTAGCAGTCTAGCGGGCTAGCAGTGTGAACTGGGCGGGCTGGCGGGCCAGCGGGCTAAAATCTAAAACTTTATTGATTGAACATAAAAACGTTATGATACATTACCCGGCAGTGTGAAGTGGGCGGGCTAGCAGTGTAGCGGGCTAGCAGTGTGAACTGGGCGGGCTGGCGGGCCAGCGGGCTAAAATCTAAAACTTTATTGATTGAACATAAAAATGTTATGATACATTACCTGGCAGTGTGAAGTGGGCGGGCTAACAGTGTAGCGGGCTAGCAGTGTGAACTGGGCGGGCTGGCGGGCCAGCGGGCTAAAATCTAAAACTTTATTGATTTAACATAAAAACTGTTATGATACATTACCTAGCAGTGTGAAGTAGGCGGGCTAGCAGTGTAGCGGGCTAGCAGTGTGAACTGGGCGGGCTGGCGGGCCAGCGGGCCAAAATCTAAAACTTTATTGATTGAACATAAAAATGTTATGATACATTACCTGGCAGTGTGAAGTGGGCGGGCTAACAGTGTAGCGGGTTAGCAGTGTGAACTGGGCGGGCTGGCGGGCCAGCGGGCTAAAATCTAAAACTTTATTGATTGAACATAAAAACGTTATGATACATTCTCCGGCAGTGTGAAGTGGGCGGGCTAGCAGTGTAGCGGGATAGCAGTGTGAACTGGGCGGGCTGGCGGGCCAGCAGGCTAAAATCTAAAACTTTATTGATTGAACATAAAAACGTTATGATACATTAACTGGCAGTGTGAAGTGGGCTGGTTAGCAGTTTGAACTGGGCGGGCTGGTGGGCCAGCGGGCTATAATCTAAAACTTTATTGATTGAACATAAAAATGTTATAATACATTACCTGGCAGTGTGAAGTGGGCGGGCTAACAGTGTAGCGGGCTAGCAGTGTGAACTGGGCGGGCTGGCGGGCCAGCGGGCTAAAATCTAAAACTTTATTGATTGAACATAAACACGTTATGATACATTACCTAGCAGTGTGAAGTGGGCGGGCTAGCAGTGTAGCGGACTAGTAGTGTGAACTGGGCGGGCTGGCGGGCCAGCGGGCTAAAATCTAAAACTTTATTGATTGAACATAAAAATGTTATGATACATTACCTGGCAGCGTGAAGTGGGCGGGCTAGCAGTGTAGCGGGCTAGCAGTGTAAACTGGGCGGGCTGGCGGGCCAGCGGGCTAAAATCCATAACTTTATTGATTGAACATAAAAATGTTATGATACATTACCTGGCAGTGTGAAGTGGGTACTCAAGATCACTTTACGGTCTAAACTTGGTCACGCTGCCTTAAAATCTAGGTTACTATGTAAACTTTTAGAAATGTCATTTCCGCGCCATAACTCCAGTTTTGCAAAAGGGGATAGAAATCAGTGATATATACTGTGCATAACGAGTGAATGATTTTTGGGACTTCGGTATGTAGGGGGTTTCCTTCAGAAAGAAAATCAAATAACACTTACAATTCGCTCCTACATAAACATGAGTTATTGTATGGAAATGACTTTTCAAAGGTTTGACTTGGTGATCTTGATTTTAACCAAACTGTGAACAGCTGTTCATGTAGTTAATTCTTTTTTGCTATTGTATGCAATATTACAAAATAATGCAGTTATATATAATTTATCGTACCAAAATGTTCCTTTAATGAAATCCGTAATTTTGAAACTAGAAGGCCAAGTATTTTTATTGTGTTGAAATGTTTATTTCAGGACGATATGCCAGATCTCTGAAAGCAAGTGACGCTCGAAGTAATGGGAGAGAAAACCTTTTATAAGTGGAAACTAATCACAATATATGAAAAGGGAACGAACGCGACACAATATGAAAATATTGCAGGCTCGGTTTAATGAGCCTGTTCATGGGCAGTAATGGAAATGCATATTACTGCCCACGCCGTTTAGCTTCGGGTTGAGCGCAATTCAATATTTACCAACTACTGTGATACTACTTGTGTCAGAAGAGTTTCACATTACACATTACTTGTAATTAGATTAAGTTACATTAAGCTGATCCAAATAAAACATATTAAACATTACTGAAAAACATTTGAATCTAATCTGTAGGTGACGTCGATTTGAAAGTTTGTATTTTTGGTTCAAGAGCATGCATATTATGTCGTCTAAATTGCTTTGTTGATATGGGCAAGTTATAAGAGGAACATATTGGAATAATGTTTTAACCTTATTTGACATTGATTTTTGTAAGTCTAGTTTGTATATGGATTTTTTTATGACTCTACGAAGTGGGAGGCATATAGAGTTGCACTCGTCCATATGTACGTCCGTCCTTCCGTCCGTCATTTTTGTCCGGAGCATATCTCAAAAAGTATTTAAGGTATCAACTTGAAACTTCATAGGTGGATAGATCATAATGAGGAGGAGTGCAGTGCACAAGAATGATAACTCCACCCTGCATAATTTTTTGAGTTATTGCCCTTTGTTATTTTTCAAACTTAGTTTTTGTCCAGAGCATAACTCAAAAAGCCTTTGAGATATTAACATGAAACTTCATGGGTGGATAGATCTCACTCAGGAGGTGTACAGTGCCCAAGAATTATAACTCTACCTTTCATCATTTTTGAGTCATTGCCCTTTGTCATTTTTCATACTTTATTTTTCACCTGAGTGGAGCATAACTCAAAGTCTTTGAGATGTCAACATGAAACTTCATAGGTGGATAGATCTTATTGAGGAGGAATGCTGTGCACAAGAATGATAACTCTACCCTTTATAATTTTTGAGTTATTGCCCTTTGTTATTTTTCTTGTATAAACTTGAAACTTCATAGGTGGATAGATCTCATAGACGATGAGTGCAGCACACAAGAATGATAACTGTACCTGCATAATTTTTGAGTTATTGCCCTTTGTTATTTTCAGCCATCAGTATTCACATAGGTTTCAAATCTGTAATCACTTCACCCATCAGTTTTCATTACCAAAAGACCTCTTTAAATTGATTTTTTTTGCTCTACTACATATACATTCTTACAATGAGCAAACACATTTGGCGGGAGATGGCCTACTAACATGGCTCTTGTTAAGAAAATATTTTTTCCTGCGACCATTTTCATCACAGTTATGGCCCTTTGATAAGTTCAGTAATAAAATCTTGTGGCATCAGCTCTTCATTAACTCCCTTACCGATTTCTTTTAAACTTATATAGAGGATCAAGCAGGATTTATAGATGATTGTAAAGAAATTTTTTTTTTTGCTGCCATTTTTACCAGACTTATAGCCTTTTGTTATTGCCACTCATAACATTTTTATGCCATAACATTTTGTGGCATCAACTTCACATTTTCTACTTGGCTAATTTCTAATAAACTTGTACATTGTTGTAAAGGATTTTTTCTTGCAAACATTTTCTCCAGAGTCAATACCTTTTTTTTATGTTAGTCATAAAATTTTATAGCACTTACTCCTCATGTACTAGTCATGATCACCACTTGTTCTTAATACCTGATGCAAAATTTGTTACACATGTTGTTGTAGCAGTGGGAGCATCAGTGTCCTGAGGACACAGTCTAGTTTTAAATAATTTTTTGGGAACCATCTTTCGTTCTTTCGTTTAAACTTTATTGAATATAAATTAAAATTTGAAATAGTTTTCTTGAAACGACATCATAAGTTAAAGGGAGACACAGTCCAAATTTTCATATTTTAGATTTTAATTTTTCTATCCAATATTCTATAAATGTCATCGAAATGAATAGACTAAGCAGTCCTTGAAACAAAATTTGTGGGTCAAGTTACAGCATTTAGATTTCACCATAGTTATCACCGTGAACTATAAAAACGTAAAAGAACCTGTCAAATGAGCGACTTAGGCTTGTTTTAATCTTACAATATCTACACTATTTGTTTTGTTAACTTCTAGGGATTGTAATTGTCAAATGACTTGTTTTAAAACTACTCATTAGTTCTTTCTGCGTCGTCATTTCGTTTCAACATATGTAGACTTATTTAGGTTTTAAACTCACATTATAAAGTATTTATACAGACAAAAACATGCAGGGACTTTTAATCACTTTTTAAACTTCATTTAGCATAAGTTAAGTAAATATGGTAAATTTAATATTTTGTCATATATTTGCCTAAGTATCCCTTTAAGCAATTGTATCTTTTTACGTTGTACTGTGTAAATTTGAGTTTTATTATTGAACTACAAATTTCGTTAGCACTTAATCCGGACATTGTCATTTTGTTTCAATTTTTTGTTTGTTTCCAAACTGTAATGAATAATGTGATTTGGAATGACACTATTTATACAATCATTTCAAAACTTCTCTGCATAATTTTTATTGGACAATTTTAAACTGTATAACATAATCGTTTTACTTTTTAAAAAACTTAATTTTTTTCCCTTATATTTCGGTATTATCTGTAATTGATAAATATCAAAATCGTTTACCTATAGGTTGAAAATAATTGATTTTGGGTAGCACATATGCATGTTTTTTATAGCTTTTTTAAACCTTATGGGCAAAAGTAATTTCTTATTTTAACTAATGTCCTTTCGAGTGTCATCCCAGAAATGATTGACATTGTCTAATGCTAGTTATATCAGAATTAGGGATAATCTTTGCTTTAATAAATCCTTTTTACGTTTTAGCTGTCCTCTCTCTATGTTGTAAATCATGCATACAATATTTTTCATAGGTATATTTAT